GTGGCCATTGGAATTATTTGGGCTGAAAGCTGGGGAAAAGATTTTGGCCTAAGTGTTCAGTTGGAATAATAGCGAGCATTCGGTGGACATTTTAACAAGAAATATATTGTATACAGTACATGAACAGCTTGAGTTGGAAAGGGAGAAAACAAAAGAATAAAACAGACAGTATCAGATGAGACCATAAGTTATTTTTCATTTTCAACAGACTAAGACAAATTCAATTTAAAAAAAAATCCCACTATAGCCCAATTGAAAGAGCAGAAACAGGTAAAACTTCACTAATCAGCTCCACACTTTTTTTTAATCTTATCATGATAGAATTAATATTTTTGTCCTCCATGGATGAGTGTCAATTTAGCTTCTAGAATACTAAAGCCTCATCATTTGTGGGTCTGTTTACAAAGTTCTTACAGACATATTTTTCTGTGGTTAAATTTTTCATAGTGCTTATGGTGGCTAAATCACTTAGATTATTAAAAAGGTTTACCTTCTGAGTACGTTCATCCATGTGCATGTATAAAACAATATGATTCTTTCAAGACTAATTCTAATGATGGTTTTTAATTTGGTTTAAAGTGTACATAAAGAACTGAAAGTAACATTTTTTAAAATATAATCTCACTAACATCACTATGATAATATATAGTGTCTTATTATTTTACTATATGGAAATAATATGGCTCTCAAGAGAGATGGTCTATTTAATTAAGTTCCAAATGTTTTCTTTGCTCATACCTAGGTAAAATGTAATAATCCAGTTTGGAGGTCACAAAAAATGGCTCATGATGGTCATGTCACAATCTGGAAGATCAGATCACAACCTTCAATCCAGCCTCAGCTGAAAGAAGAGAGAGGGATTGTTCTTATGTTCTTAGAATTTGGTGTTGTCTTGATATTTCTGTTGTTTTGGACCATGGCATCTTACATATCCCCTACACATCATGTAGATGTTTTAAGGATGGGAGAAAGAATCAAGACCTCATGGTTAGCACTGTGACTCATAGACTTTAAGGTCAGAAGGGACCATTATGATCATCTAGTCTGACCCCCTGCACAGTGCAGGCCACAGAATCTCGCCCACCCCTCTTAGAATAATCCTCTCACCTATGTCTCAGATATTGAAGCTTTCAAATACTTTGAAGGCCCCAACATGCAGAGAGTCCTTCAGCTGTGATCTGTGCCCAATGCTACAGAGGAAGGCGAAAAACCTCCAGGGCCTCTGCCAATCTACCCTGGAGGAAAATTCCTTCCTGACCCCAAATATGGCGATCAGCTAAACCCTGAGCATGTGGGTAAGACTCACCAGCCAGACACCCAGAAAGTTCCCTATAATGAATGGTCAATTAGTTACCAAGATCATGTTATTTCATCCAACCATCCCCTTATCATAGAATCATAGAACTGGAAGAGACCTCAGAAGGTCGTCAAGTCCAGCCCTCCGCTCTAGGCAGGACCAATCCCATCTAAATCAACCCGGCCAGGGCTTTGTCAAGCCGAGACTTAAACACCTCTAGGGATGGAGACTCCACTACTTCCCTAGGTAACCCATTCCAATGCTTCACTACCCTGTGGGATCATCAAGAATTTCATTTCAACAGTGTCCAATTAAAAACATATTATAGAACTGTTGATCATGTATAAGCCCTAAAGTTAAAGCTAAATAGGGATTCAACTTCATTTGTTAAGAATACAGTATATCCTCCCCAAATTTTCACCACTCACACTTTAAGTATAGGACTAGAGAATGATTTTTCTGAGAATGTCTGACAATCTGTTAATTAATGTGCAAAAATTAAATAAAATGTCTCCTTTATTAAATTAAGCATTAAATATCAGATTGTTGTTTGTTTAAATCTTTTTAATAACAACACAGTACAGAACCTCCCCCCAAACCTTGTATATGGTTAAAACTCAGTTTATACATAGGATTTCAACTATGGCTGGGGAAATTAAGTTGTTAATGATTGCTATATCAAATAGTTATGACTATAGTCAAAAGACAGAACCAGGTCACTAATTCAGGTCATTCTTATGTAGATCCATTTTGACATCAGAGGGAACTCAGGTTATGTCTAGACTGCTGCTTTTTTAGGGGAAAAGGTACGCAAATTGCACTCCACAATTTGTGTACGTTTTTCCAATACTTTTGTCAGAAGAGGCTTTTCTGAAATTTGGCCCGTCTACCCTGGGCCAAATTTTGCAAAAACTTCCTCTTTCAGAAGAGTCCTTCTTCCTCGTGGAATGATGAAGACAGGGCTTCAGAAAGAGCACATCTGCTCTTCCACAAAAAATATAGGAAGAACAGACGTGTTCCATGGATGCAGCAGAGTTTTTTGGTATCCCAGAAAAACTCTGTAGTCTACACCTAGCCTCAATCAATCAACACCCTTTTCTTCAGAGGATTTGAATACTGTAGTTCTGTTGGCTGAAGTGAATCAGTGTGATGAAGGGGAATAAAATATATGTCTAGATTTCTCATTGGTAGGTTATTTGGCTGCCAGTTCTCACTGTATTGGCTCCAACTGACCATGTTTTAACAATTCACCAATATGCTTTGATTACTTTGTCTTGCTCTAGTCATGCAATGCTGCTGTAAACATGGCCTCACTGGTCAATCTGCTCTGGTTAGTTTGTCTTGTTCCAGAGCTAGATGCTGCAGCTAGCACATAACAATAAATGTGATCTTGAAATTTAACTCTCTTTTTGTTGTTTGTTTGTTTCATTTTTAATGACTTAAGGCTGATACTACACATCTCCAGCTCATGAGAGCTGTCACAGGGAAACATTTCCACTGAGTTTCCTTTTTAGTGTTTTTGCATGAAATTTTTCATTAAAAATATAGTAAAATCACTAAGCAAAAACAAAAAACATGTTCAAAGTACATATCAATAATCTGAAAGCAAATAAATCAATCAATCCCAAGACTACTGTAATTATTCCATTACCAAGAATTACAAACCCAAGAAATTGAAAGAAATGGAAATATATTAAGTTATGAGGAAAGAACTGTTTAGCCACCCAAAGAACCTTAACTCTGCCCTTTAGTGATACATTATTACACAATCATATAATTTTTATGAAGCTATTTTAGTTGTTATGGGCTCAGATTTCATTAAACTGATTTTTTTAAATAGTTTAATATTTCCATTACCCTGATGGCATCACTCAGAGCATACTTTTTTGCAGAGGAGGGGGGTTATAATGCTCTGTTCTGGTATAATTATGTATGTATTGTTACCCAGACATTACTGATATATACTCTAAAGCTGTAACAGTAATTTTTGTCTGGGTAGTTTTATGTGGGTAGATATATGGGGATGCATACACACAGAGGCAAATATATTCCATATATGAATTAAAGAGAGAAATGCACAACCTGGCTGCACAGTAAAACAGATGATGGAAATTACAAGCAGAAGGGGATTTACACACTTTTTAATCTGACATGCGTTTCGTCTTTTTCCACAAGCCCTGCATAGCTACGGAGAAGAACTAACAGAAGATTTGTGCTTCTATGCACAAGCTAAAGCATTCCAAGGAGACTGCCTAGAAATATTCCCTGAAAACACCTGAGTAGTTAAGTGTAATTAACAGTGAGGTCATTGTCAACCCCAGTGATAGAAGACTTCGCTCTAAGTCCTTAACATAAAACAGCTCTGTCCATTTCAATTAAAGTGCCCACTTTTCCTCTACTCTGTCCATCATCCACTTTGAAAGTTTACCGGGCGCTGAAGGGATTAGATATCACACTAACTTTGAAGCGATCTTTTCAATAAGAGTTGGCTGAGTACAAAATCCAGAGGTAAGGATGAGTGACTGGCTCCAGAGGCTGAGGGGAGGGGGAAGGGAGAAAGTCTTTTCCTTCAGCTGCAGAGTCGTGGTCACAAGCGGCGATAAAGGGCTTAGCCTTGCACAGACTCACTTCCCCTCTGCAGCAACTGCAAACCCGAACTTTCCCAGCAGAAAAACGCCGCCTTCCTTACCTGCTATGTTGAATATGGCAGTAATTACAAGGAAGTTTATTTTAAAACTTTTCCACAATCAGTTGCGGACACTTCCAAGACATTTCCAAGCCAGGACGGGAGGCGGTTTCGTCTGGGGCATGTTTTTCTGTAACTCAGACAACTGCAAAGCACCTTGAAAGCACCTGAGTACGCGCCGCCGTCTTCTGCAAAAGCCTGAGTAAAAGAGTTATTATATTTGCTCATAAAAAAGCAACCGTGCTGTCATTTTAATGAGGTATCTGGTGGATAAGCATATGCAAGGAACCAGGGGGAAAATGCGAGAGATGGCGAAAATGAGTGATACACTCATTGCATCTCCGCTGAAGAAATTCTCTGAAAAATTACGGAGTCAAAAAAGCACTTTGTAAACCACATTGAATTGATTGACTTTTTAAATGTAAAGATAATATCCTACCTGTGGCTTCAACGCTTCTTCTGTCTCTAAATAATGTTGCCTCTCTTCCAGGCGAAAACACCAGGCTGACGCCTTTAGAGTGCATCTCTTTTGCCTTATTTATGTCCCCTTCCGCAGAAGCCCATGTATCTTGCACTAAGCTGAAAATTACTAAAACTTTTAATACAATGGTGGGGGGGTTATGAGAAACTTTCCATTTTCAAGCCGTTTTTCAAAGAGCTGCCTTACTTATGGAACAGGACGTAACAAATAATGTCCAAAAACAGGAAAGAAACCCTCTTGCTCGTTCCAAATAAACAAATAAAGCCTTTTTATAAGAACTCTTTTTATTTTTTCATTTCACTTTGAAATTGACAGGACCCGAAAATACTGTATATAGTTTGTAAAATAAAAATATTTCAGAAAGTCGGCCACTTTCACGGCACTTAGCCCTAATGTAAACCTAAGTTAGGCTATGTTGTTCTTTTAGTGTAGATTGAAAAATGTCTAATTATTTTATCTATTCTTACCGAACTGAAAAGAAAGGAAGAAGACAAGTGGGGTGAATCTAAGTCACGCAAATACTCCTCCTTTTAATGTATGTATCATGTGGCGACAGTTAGATAATATTGTTAATAAAAGTAATGACTAAAATATGAAAAGAAGCCCAAGGGAAGAACCTTACATAAACAATTATGCTGTGAGAGTTTTGGAACAGTGAGGATAAAATCCATTGCCACAGCGCCCCCTCCCACGCTCAGCCTGAACTAAAGATTTTATCCTGGAGTTTTTTTTTGGGGGGGGGGGGGAGTTCAGTCTTTTTCTTTCCCTCCCTCCTTTCTTTTCTCAGCTCGCCCATTTAATCCTCAAAAGTAGAGCCGACCAAGTGACTCCTGCAGCTCAGCCTCTCTCTTTGCATTGTTCTAGGAAAATATCTTATTCGGAACAACGTCGCAAGCCTTGCTTGTTTTACTAGCAAACTGAACAACGTCGTTGTCGCAGTATGAATGTCGTTGGTAATGTAACGCACAATAGTCAATTATTTCATTTGATCTGCCGAAGGGGGTAAAGTGTCCCTCCATTTCATAAAAGAAAGGAGAAACATTCCCGGTCCATTGTATTGTTATGTCACAATGAAGCGGTTTCTGCTACGCACATGATGCATCCCCACTAGATTCTTTTTAGCCCCACGTAAAAGTTTCTGCGGCCGGTTCCATAACGGTTGATTAAATAACAGATATGCTGTTATCTATGTGGCATGCGTGCTAGTATATTTTGGCCAGATCGTGCAGTCTCGCAAATCTCTTCTCCAAGCCAATGAGAGTTTCACAGTAGTAAAGACTAAGGATTGGACACTGTGTGAATACCCACAAAACACACAAACTGAAACATAAACACACACACACACACACACAGAGAATCAGTTCTTACACAAAACAAACAGAGCGAGTTTACATTATATTAGAAAGGACACCATTCCCACAGTCCTGGCTTTCTTCTTTGTTCGCCTTAAAACTTCTATATGATTGGCTTTGTGTAAGGAGCCACAGTTAGCATCTAAAAAGTGACAAACCGAAGAATCTGTCTCCCAGAACTCCAGTGAGAAATAGCGGGAAAGGATTAATCTTTGCTAGCTGCTCATTAACTATAACCGAAGTAAACTTTACATTTAAAGAGTCAGATGCGAAGTTTTGCTTAAAATCTAGGGGTGGAATGATGTGGAAATGAATAGCTACCCAAAGAAAACTGTGTAAAACTTCAAACCCCCGTGTATGCATTTTAGTTTGCAACAGTTATTAGCAATAAAAAGTGCATGTAGTGCTGTTCTACAGTTTGATAGTGCAAAGTGGACGATTTGTATTAGGAACAGAAAAAATAGATTTCAATTAAGGAGCACAGTATATTAAAAGCTATCTACAGTAAAAGTATACAGCTCAAAAAGCACAATTTCGGGGGAAATAAATATAATACTCATACATAAGCAATATTCACACGAAACTTCAGTTTTTAATCGTATAAAGTTCACAATTTATATCTAAGAGATCGCAATAGCGGATCGATTCTTACAGTCCAGATTAAATGGGTAGGGTTATATTGTGAGTAAATGCATACTCCTTGCAGTGCAGAAGAGCATGCCTTTTTGAAGCAATACAAAAATAAGCAAGAATGGTTTTGACATGATTTTAATATATTGCGTTAATCGCTATTGCAAAATTATCCCCTCATTTTATATATAAAAATGGTTTGGAATGCACAATGAAAATATTTCAAATTTCATCTGTTGCTCTTTGTATTTGTTCGGGAGTGTGTTAATGTATAGTCTTTCCAGTGAAATCATACAAAAAGATTTGCAGCGAGGAACGCAAGAAATACAAATACAGACAAAGGTATCATCTACATTTTCTACATACATATCCAGGATGTATGTGTGAGAGAAAGAGAGAGAGAGGGTATGTGTTTTTATGTATGTGTGTATGCGCTGAACTGAATTACATAATTCCTCCTGGTGTTAATGTATAGTCTTTCCAGTGAAATCATACAAAAAGATTTGCAGCGAGGAACGCAAGAAATACAAATACAGACAAAGGTATCATCTACATTTTCTACATACATATCCAGGATGTATGTGTGAGAGAAAGAGAGAGAGAGGGTATGTGTTTTTATGTATGTGTGTATGCGCTGAACTGAATTACATAATTCCTCCTG